ATTCTGGAATAATAATAATAATAAATCTCCATCCATTTGGCTTTAAAGACACCAAGAGCAGAGACCAAGGGATGGAGAATCTCTACAGACTCTTAATTTTTTGCGGGAGACACGGGCTAGAGAGATTTGGGCATTCGTAACCGGTTCCTTCGGAGGGAACGAGCCAGGATCGGTGTCTTTTTTTTAAATTAAAATTTTATAATTTTATTAAAACACAACATACGACATATAAATACCTTATCCTTTTTAAGCATTGTTTCATAGTGGTCTTCCATCTATTACTTTATTCTTCTTCCCCTATTTCTTAGTCTATTACTCCTTCTTTTCCCCCTCCTTTTCCTTTCCTTTTCTTTTTTCCCCCTCTTCCTTTCCCCCTGTAGAGATCTATATATTTTGATTATCTTTACTATTTTACATTTCTACATTCCCATTATATACATAATTATACCGCTCAGTACATATGATTGATATATATCAGTGATGGCTAAACCTTTTTGCCATCATGTGCCAAAAGCGGGGGGGAGTAGGGGGGGCCGCCCGCCCGTGTGCCCACACCCATAATTCTATGCCCCCTGCGCATGCACACATGACACCCCCCCCCGTGCTCCTCTTTTGGCACGAGATGGCACGGTGGGCCCATTTTTTGCTCTCCCCAGGCTCCAGAGCCTTTCTAGAAGCCTGGGGAGGGTGAAAATGGCCTTCCCCACCCCCATGGGAGGCCCTCTGGAGGCCGGAAATGACCCATTTGCCAACTTTCCGGCCTCTGGAGGGTCTCCGGGGGTGTGTGGAGAAGGCCATTTTAGCCCTCCCCAGGCTCCTAGAAAGGCTCTGGAGCCTGGGAGAAGCGAAAAACGGGCCTTCCCCACCCTCCTGAGGCCTTCCAGAGGTTGGAAACAGCCTGTTTCCCTACTTCTGGTGGCCCAGAAGGCCCAAAAATCAGGTGGCGGGAGCTGAGCTTGCGTGCCCACTGATATGGCACTGAGTGCCACCTGTGGCACGCGTGCCATAGGTTCGCCATCACGGATAGATAGATAGATAGATAGATAGATAGATAGATAGATAGATAGATAGATAGATAGATTGTATTTTTGATCTTCTCTCCTTGTATTTATTGTTCTTTATTGATAGTGTTGAGCCAATTTGTTCCATATTCTGTAGTAGTCTGTCTCTTCTTTTTCTTTAATTTCTTTTGTTAATCTGTCCATCTCAGCGCATTCTAAGATCTTATCTATCAGTTCTTCCTCTGTTTGGGATTTTTTCCTGTTTCCAATTTTTTGCATGTGTAATTCGTGCTGCTGTTAAGATGTGAAGCATCAACTATTTTATTTCTTTGGGGTACAGGATCCGTTTTTACAAGGGAATAATCCGACGTGTGCGAAGGAGACACTGAGACGAAGCCCAGAAAAGAAACAACAAACACACATCTGGGAAGACTGCAAATTCCCAGGATCTCAGGAGCTTGGAGTCGGGTGCGGGAAGATAAAGACAATACACAATTCCCTTTTCGTAAGTTTTTCATCTTGTTTTCCTGCCGTCTCTACAGCTGGGCAGAACACAATCACAACAATTATTTCCCAACCAAACCCTTCCCAAGCACTTTACTGTGTACACACTTAAATTATTAATCCTCCTCCTTTATCTAATTTGCCTTGGCATCAATTAATTGATCAATTATTGATCTGGGCGTTAATGCACAAATGTGACTCATTTAAAGACCCCATTGTTTTAAGGATGGAAATTCCCATCCTGCTGGTCGTAAGTCGAGGACTAACGGGAAAGAGAAGGTTAAAAAGAAAAACGGGACTTTTGCACGTATCTCTCGTCCCTTCGGTGTCCCTGAGACCAGCCTTCAAAAAAAAATCTCCTTTTAAAATAATCCAAAAAAGCCAGAAAATGTTCCTTCAGGATAAATATTCAGCAGAGCCACAAGACAAAAACATCGGAAACTCTTTTGAATTTCCCGGAGAAAAATCCAATCGATCAACGCAACAGGTTCCTTGTCTCGAACATAAATTATATCCTCGTATTTTCTAAACTCACGTTTGGTTTTCCTTGCAGCCATGAAGGCAGCTTTTTATATATATCTATATCTATATATCTATATATCTATATCTATTATCTATATATCTATATCTATATATATATACATCTATATATCTATATATCTATTATTATATATATATTTTAATTTGATTTATATGCCGCCCTTCTCCGAAGACTCAGGGCGGCTTACAATGTGCTCAGCAATAGCAATAATATATATATATATATATATATATATATATATTATTAAAAAAAAAAAAACTTGCGTGCATCTATTATCACTCAAGTTATCAGAGGCCTCTTTCATGGCCTTCTGTATGGAGCGTTCAATCGCCTGGTGTAGGCGAAGCTCCTCTTTGGCCCTGGCTGCCGCCTTCTTTTCCTCCCTAGAGGCCTGAGATTTCTTTGTTTTTTGAAGGCTCAGCTGATGAACTAGCCGGGTCCTCAGACTGGCGCTTATTCGCCTTAGATGAACGGGATGCCATGCTGTTAAAACTAGGCCTCTAATATCACGAGTGAGGACAAGATGGCGGCCGTAAGGCAAATTCAGTGGTGGCCTAGGGCGATAAAATGGCGGCCGCTGTAATAACACCCCAGAAGCTTAGAGTCAAAGACTAGGCCCGCAATGCGCGAGGATCGGCAAACAGCATGAAGTTACGACGGTCGTAGGATCGTGTTCGCCCTTTAACCACCTTCCCAGCAAGCAAAGTCGGGGGGGGGGGAAGGAGTATTCCCTTCACGAGGGCAGCAAAAAATAGGACATGACTCATTTAAAGACCCCATTGTTTAAGGATGGAAATTCCCATCCTGACTGGTCGTAAGTCGAGGACTAACGGGAAAGAGAAGGTTAAAAAGAAAAACGGGACTTTTGCACGTATCTCTCGTCCCTTCGGTGTCCCCTGAGACCAGCCTTCAAAAAAAAATCTCCTTTTAAAATAATCCAAAAAAGCCAGATAAATGTTCCTTCAGGATAAATATTCAGCAGAGCCACAAGACAAAAACATCGGAAACTCTTTTGAATTTCCCGGAGAAAAATCCAATCGATCAACGCAACAGGTTCCTTGTCTCGAACATAAATTATATCCTCGTATTTTCTAAAACTCACCGTTTGGTTTTCCTTGCAGCCATGAAGGCAGCTTTTTATATATATATATATATATATATATATATATAAAATATATATATAATATATATATATATATATTATTAAAAAAAAAACTTGCGTGCATCTATTATCACTCAAGTTTATTAATGGATTTTTTTTGGGGGGGCGGAATTTATTTATACCATTCTTATCTTGCTTTCCCCTCTGGAGATTCGGAGCAGCTGGTGAGAAAGACACGGCCCATAAATCTGCCAGTTAAAACAGCCACTTTGATAAAAGACCCTCACAGAACACAGAAAATATAATATATATATATATATTTTTTTGCTGGGAACATAAATTAAAATCCAGGAAAATCGCCAACGGCGGACATTTGCAGATGTTTGTCTTCTGAGGTAATCCTTTTTTATTTCCTAGCTTAATGGTTGATCGCTCAGAGATCTGGGCCGAACCGACTTACAACCATTCATTTAACGACCGTTCGTTACTATGGCATTGAAAAAAAGGTCGCCTGATGGATCGGTCCTCGCACTTACGACCGTCGCAAGCATCCCCGTGGTCACATGATCAAAATTTGGTGCTTGGCAACCGACTCGTATTTAAGACGGCTGAAGCGTCTCGGAGGTCACGTGATCCCCACCTGCGACCTTCTGACAAGAAAAATTCAACGGGGAAGCTGGATTCCCTTAACGACCGCATGATTCGCTTAACAACTGTAGTGATTCGTTTAAAAACCAGGTTTTTAAACGAATGGAAGGTTCGTTTGGAAGGTTGTAAAATTGGGCAAGTCTCACATAACAACCGCCCTGCTTAGCGATGAAAATGATAAACCCAATTGTGGTCGTTAAATCGAGGACTACAAGTGATCGTTCCGGCTCGGTTCAGTTGATAGCTGGACTGGCTTAGGATGATGAGATGTAGTCCTCAATTTACGACCGCGATTGAGCTCAAAATCTATCTGGCCAAGCGAGACAGTTGTTAAGTGAATTTTTCCCCATTTTACGTCATTTCTTGCCACCGTTGTTCAGGGAATCACGGCAAGTTGTTAACTTAGTCACGCGGTTGTTAAGTGAATCCGGCTTCCCCATCGACTTTGCTTTTCGGAAGGTCGCAAACGTGGATCGTGTGACCCCGAGACGCCGCGACCGTCATAAATATGAGGCAGTTTGTCAAGCATCTGAATTTAAGAATAGAATAGTGCAGGAAGGGACCTTGGAGGTCTTCTAGTCCAGCCCCCTGATCAAACATTTCAATTTTGATCACGGAACCCACTGGGGATGCTGCAACAGTCGTAACTGTGAAAAATCATCCTAAGGCACTTTTTTCCAGCGCCGTTGTAATTTTGAACGGTCGCTAAAAGAACTGTCGTAAGTCGAGGACTACCTATTGTCTGTACATTTTTTTGGTGGAGGAGTGTTATTTGGGGAAAAAAACGACAGAACAATTTGGGGAAGTGATGTGAGAAAAGGAAGAAGAAAAGAGAACTCAAATCCCTCGAGGTCAACCCGAAATAGCCCTGCCTAAAGGAAGCAGCGGAGCAAAAATAAACGAAAAATAAAATTTATTTGAGAATATAACTTACGGAAAAAAAGGAAGCAGGCGTTTGCACCGCCAAAGCTGCGGTCTTTATATTCTTTTGAAAGATCCTGCAGACACCTCGGTAACTCCTCGGCTTACAACAGCTCATTTAGTGACCGTTCAAAGTTAGAACATCACTGAAAAAAGTTACTTACGACCATTTTTCATGCTTACGACCGTTGCAGCATCTGCTTAGTCACTTGGCCACTGACTCGCATTTATGACGGTTGCAGTATTCCCAGGGTGACGCGATCCCCTTTTGCGACCTTCTGACCAGCCAAGCCAATGAGGAAGCCCAGTTTACTTAACGACATTGTGACTAACTTAACGACGGCACGGATTCAATGAACAACCGTGGCAAGGAAGTTCATAAAACGGAATCAAAATTCTCATTAAAAACCCGCCGTTTAGCGAAACGGAGGGAAATTCACTTGGCGATCCGTTTCACTTAGCAAGAAAAATTGGGGGCTCAATTGTAGTCGTAAGTCGAGGACGAGCTAAAATCTTTCTTTTCCTACAGGAAAGACATTTATTATTATTTATTTGCTGATTTATTGATTTCCTGATGAGCTGGCTTTTGATTGTTTGTGTTCGTTATTAATAAACTACCCCGGGAAGTGGTGGGCTGCAGCCGGTTCGCGCGAATCGGTACTTGCGATCTGCGGATGGGCCCACTCACCCGCAATCCCGTCCTATATCGCTGTGTTTGACGCCGCAGGGATGCGCGGAAGGCGCGCACGAGCGAATTGCTGTGTTTTTTGACGCCGTGCAGGAGACGTGCGTGTGCGAATTGCCATGTTTGACGATGCACACGTGCACAGGAGGCGTGCGTGCACATTTCCAGTTGCTGGGCAAACCGGATGTTACAGTATGTGACGCCCACATCTGACCCAGGGGTTATGGATGTTCCAGATGGCCGGCGCTATAAACCTTTTAAATATATATAATAAATAAAAGTCTCCTTGAAATCTATCTATGTGCGGAGCTGGAAAAAAAATGACACAGAATGAATGAATCATCGGTAAGGAAGGCAGGAAGGATGTTAAATGTGTGTTTGCATTGTGTTTGTGTTGTCTGGCATGCACCAGGGGGTCCTCGGCGTACGACCGTAATTGAGCCTCAAATTTCTGTCGATAATGGAGAATTGTATGCCAAAAACCAGTAATTTTCGACGTATGAAAATTTTTAAGGAAGATAATTGCTGTGTGAGTTTTGCCCTATTTTGCCTTTTTTTTAATTGCCGCCGTTGTTAAGTGAATCGCTGCGGTTGATAAGTTAGTAAGCCGGTTGTTAAGTGAATCCGGCTTCCCCATGGACTTTGTTTGCTGGAAGGTCGTAAAAGGGGATCACGTGACCCCAGGTCTCTGCGACCGTCATAAATATGAGAATTTTGATCACGTGACCAGGGGCATGTTGCGATGGTCATTAAGTGTGTAAAACGGTCGTCACTTTTTCCAGTGCCGTTGTAACTTTGAACGGTCACTAAGTGAACTGTCGTAAGTTGAGGACTACCTGTAATAACGATCAAATTCCTCCAGATTAGCTGCTGAGCGGAGAGCTGCAATATTAAATTTAACCCGGGAATGGATTTACCCCCTTTGTCTCATTATTTTAAGAGATTTTATCTGAAATGCAAGAAGTCCTCGACTTCCGACATGAACGGAGCCTGCCCAAGTCACGGCGGTCGTAAAACAAGTGGATCAAGTGAACAACCCAATTTTACAACCTTTTTTGCAGTGGCCGTTAAGCAAATCATCACAGTTGTTAAGTGAGACATGCGGTCGTTAAGCAAACCTGGCTTCCCTCGTTACTTGTCATAAAGGGTTGGAAATGGCAGTCACACGACCCCGGGTTGCTTCAACTATCATAAATATGTGCTGGTTGTATTTAGCCATTTTGATCTTATGATCCTGGGAATGCTGTGACGGTCGTAAGTATGAGGATTGGTCTTAAGTCACTTTTTTCAGGGTCATTGTAACTTAGAATGGTCACTAAATCAACTTTTAATGACCCCATAATCCCTTGCATCGGGGTGGAGTCTGGGCAACTGAATGGAGCTGAGTGTTTTACTGGCCGGATGCCCTTCCCTGTTGCCAATGAGGAGTTTTGTTCGGCAGATATATTCTCATTGCGCCCAGAGAGAGAACTATCTTCCTCTACCTAGGATCGAACTCACAACCTCCTGACTGCGAGGTGAGAGCTCCACCTCTAGGCCACGGCACCACTCAGACCCCCGCACCAATCCTGGGAATGCTGTGACGGTCATAAGTATGAGGATTGGTCTTAAGTCACTTTTTTCAGGGTCACTGTAACTTTGAATGGTCACTAAATGATCGGTGGTTAAGTACAGTATTTGCCTCCTGTTCTTCTGCACAGTTGCAGTCCCTTCGCCCTCCACTAGGGGCATTCTCGGGGAGCTCTCTGTTGTCCCTGGTGGAGCAGGCAGGAACTGACTCACCTTGTCTTGGCTGTTGAGTTCTTGATAAGGGATGTGAGCCGGCAGGTAGGTGTGTAAGAGGGCGCAGAAAGCCAGGCCGTCACTCCAGCTGCTGCTGAAGTTGGTGATGTCGATATTCTGCAAATGCAACGAGAGGAGAGGAGTGATGCACTGATGATGTTACCTAGTTGGGTCATGAAACGTCTGCAAGAAAACCAGGTTTCGGAGAGCACCAAGGAGCCTTCCTTCCTTCCTGCCTTCTCATTCTCATCACTTTCCTTCGTTTGTTTGTTCATTCCTCCCTTCTCTTCTCATTCTCATCACCTCTTCCTCCCTCCCTCCCTTCTCATCACTTCTTTCCTTCCTTCCTCCCTCCCTTTCCTCCCTCCCCAGACCTTCCTTTCTTCCTTCTTTCCTTCCTTCTCCCTCCCTCCCTTCTCACACTTCCATCCCCTCTCTTCTTTCCTCCCTCCCTCTCTTTCCAGGCCTTCCTTCCTTCCCCCTCCTTCTTCCTTCCTTCTCTCTCCCTCCATCCCCTTCCTTCCTTCTCACACTTCCATCCTCCCTCTCTTCTTTCCTTCCCTCCCTCTTTCCAGGCCTTCCTTCCCCTCCTTCTTTTCCTTCCTTCCTCCTCCTCTTCCTTCCTTCTCACACTTCCATCCATCCTCCCTCCCTCTCTTCTTTCCTTCCCTCCCTCTTTCCAGACCTTCCTTCCTTCCCACTCCTTCTTCCTCCCTCCCTTCTCATTCTCATCACTTTCCTCCCTCTCAAGACCTTTCTTTCTTCCTTCCTTCCTTCCCCCTCCCTCCATCCCCTTCCTTCCTTCTCACACTTCCATCCTCCCTCTCTTCTTTCCTTCCCTCCCTCTTTCCAGGCCTTCCTTCCTTCCCCCTCCTTCTTCCTCACTCCCTTCTCATTCTCATCACTTTCCTCCCTCTGTCAAGACCTTTCTTCCTTCCTTCTTTCCTTTCTCCCCTCCTTCCATCCCTTCCTTCCTTCTCACACTTCCATCCTCCCTCTCTTCTTTCCTTCCCTCCCTCTTTCCAGGCCTTCCTTCCTTCCCTCTCCTTCTTCCTTCTCTCTCCCTCCATCCCCTTCCTTCCTTCTCACACTTCCATCCTCTCTCTTCTTTCCTTCCCTCCCTCTTTCCAGACCTTCCTTCCCCCTTCTTCTTCCTCCCTCCCTCCCTCCTTTCCTTCCTTCTCACACTTCCATCTCCCTCCCTCTCTTTCCAGACCTTCCTTCCTTCCCCTCCTTCTTCCTCCCTCCCTTCTCATTCTCATCACTTTCCTCTCCCTCAAGACCTTTTTTTTCTTCCTTCCTTCTTTCCTTCCTTCTCCCTCCCTCCCTCCAGACCTTCCTTCTTTCCATCCTTCCTTCTTCCTCCCTCCCCTTCCTTCCTTCTCATACTTCTTCCATCCTCCCTCCCTCTCTTCCTTCCTTCCCTCCCTCTCTTTCCAGGCCTTCCTTCTTTCCATCCTTCCTTCTTCCTCCCTCCCATTTCAATTTCTGTCAACTTTTCTTTGTTCCTTCACTGCTTTTCTTTAGCAACAGACAGAAAACAATTTAAGTAAAAACTGGAGACTTTAAACTTAGTTTTAGGCCAAAACCTTTACGAGAGAATATTTGATGGAGGAAAAGAATAAACCTTTTATTTGTACGGGTAGTCCTTGATTTATAAACCGTAATTGAGCTCACAATTATGGTTGTTAAGTCACGCGGATTGTTAAATGGTGACCCCACCTCATTTTATACCCTTTATTACAATGATCGTTAAGCGAACACTGCGTCTGTCATTAAGACGCTTTTTTTTTTTTGCCAGAAGGAATTGTACAGGTAGTCCTCGGTTTATGACGGGTTGCTTAATGACCTTTAAAAGTTATGACAGACCCCCTCCCCAAAATGCTACTTATGACCCAGTTCTTAACTTCTGACAGCCGCACATATACCCCATAGTTACATGCCCGTATTTTGGGTGCCTGACAATTCGACCGCCTTTATCATGTATTCTGTGGTCACGGGACTGTAAATTTATGACTTTTTTTGGCCAATTCCTGTTAAAGTTGATGGTTCTAGCCCAATAACTCACTAATCAAAATGTATTCCCTTGCAGAAATGTAAGAAGGTAGAGATACAGACAAGATATAAACAAGTTAGACATTTTACATAACAATTTCTGGTCTTTTTGACTAATTTCTGGCCAAAAAAAAAAAAAAAAAAAGCCAATAAGAATACATGGATTCGTTTAACGACCGTGGTGTTTGCTTAACTGCCAGCACCAACAAAAAATAAAAAAAAGAAGTCGTAAAATCAGATCTGGCCCTCTCTCGACTTCTGACCGTCGTGTCTTATGACGGCAATGTTGAGCTCTATTGTGGTCGTAAGTCGAGGACTACCTGCCATGGGTTAGGATTTGACAACGGGGGGCTTCCCACAGCTGGATAAACCACCCCCGGATTGAGCAAAAGTGGTTTTTCTGTTGTTAATCACGCACAAAAGTGACATAAGGATTTTTCTGATAAGCGGGAAAAAAGGGAGTTTTCTGATAAGCAGTTCTGGGGAATAAAAGGGAGGGAAAAATACGTGAGAAAGCAATGATTCACATCATTAATTAATAAAGCAAAAATTCCCTTGAAATTATTCAACCAAGTCACATGTCATTGACACTTTTTTTTTTCCTGGTCTTGAGCAGGGAGGGTTGGACTAGAAGACCTCTAAGGTCCCTTTTGACTCTGTTATTCTCTACAAGTAGTCCTTGATTTACAACCATTTAGTGACTGTTCGAAGTTGCGACGGCCCTGAAAAAAAAAGGAACTTATGACCATTTTTTCACTCCTACAACCGTTGCAGCGTCCCCCGCGGTCACAGGATCAAAATTCAGACTCTTGGCAACCGACTCGTATTTATGACGGTCGCAACGTCCTGGGGGGGGGGTTCCATCATGTGATCCGCTTTGGCGACCTTCTGACAAGCGAAGTCGAAGGGGAAGCCAATGTGGACAACTGGGTTACTAAGTTAACCACTGCGCTGATTCGCTGAAGGACTGTGGCCAGAGAGGTCGTAAAACGGGGCAAACCTCGCTTAACGACGTAAGCGACAGAAATGTTTGGGCTCAACTGTGGTCGTAACTGTGGTATTTATTCCCTAGATTAAACGCGATGTCAATTGCTTGGACAAGTGTTCAGTGCGGGTTTTGTGCGTTTATTTAATTACTTTTTATTTATCTATTATTCATTCAATGATTTATTTTTGGTCAATCCTTTAGGTTGCAAAGTGGAGCGATGCTTCCTTAACGACCGTTGTTACTTAATCCCTGCAGCGATTTATTTATTTATTTATTTATTTGTTTGTTTGTTTATTTATTTATTTATTTATTATTTTTTAATTTAAATTTGTATACCGCCCTTCTCCTACTGGACTCAGGGCGGTGCACAGCCAAGTAAACAACATTTCAATACAAAATTTAAAAATTTAAAAGAATTATACACTTTGGCCGAAAATTTAAAAACCTCACAACTAAAGCCCATTAGACAATTAAAAATCTAATATCTCAAAAAAAAAGGGGGGGGTGTTTCACGCCAGCCCTTCTTGATGGAAAAGAAAAGTTTTTAGGGCACGGCGAAAAGCCCGGAGATCTGGTATTAACGACTGTGGCAGGCGAGATGGCCAAAGGGGGCGAAAGGCAGTGAAACAACTGTCTCGTTTAGCGACGGAAACGGGGGGGGTATTTTGGTCGTAAATCGAGGACTGCCCACAATTGTCATCCCTGCAGACCCTCACACTAAAGGGGCTGTTTAATGCTGAATTCCTAGCTTGGAACAAAAAAAAGCCTTTCCCCGTGTTTTCCCGAAATTAGGACCAGATCTTATATTTTGGGGGGCTCCAAAATAAGCACTAGGGCTTATTTTTGGAGGGTGTCTTATTTTTTTCCCCTTGTACGGGAGGCCAATTTCTTCTGCTTGCTTGCGGCCGCAACAGGGCGCGAGGCTGTGCAGTGTTTCAATGCTGCCGCCGCGAGGCAGCCCAGGGTGGAGCTGCCCAATGCGCCCCGCAGTGCCCTGCAGCCACACCAAACATGCCCCAACACCTGCCTCACCTTGCGGCGGTGGCTCCGGCAGCCCTGTTCCGCAGGACACCGCGTGGCCACCGGCACACTAATTCTCCTTGCTGGCGGCCGCAACGCAGCAGGCAAGCCGAGAGACGGTGGGACGGAGTGGGCGGCTGGCGGTGGAAGGCTTGTCTTCATGTCTCTCGGCTTTCCCGCGGCCTGCAGGGTGCATCGGGATCACGCCTGCTTCCTCCCACCCTGACCCCCCCCGGCGCCTCTGCCTCCGTCTGCTGCCGGTACCACCGTGCAAAGACAAGCTTCTCGCGGCCGGCCAGCTGGTCTGGCCCACTGACACTCAGCTTTCCCGCGTCCCGTGCTGCGCGTCCGGATTGCATGCCTGCCCCCGCCTCTGCCTGCTGCTTGGACAGGTAATCAACTCACCTGTGCTGCGCAGGTGGCTGCTGCTGTCGGACACTGTTGGCCCCCAGGCCCTACCTGCCTCCGGTGCTGGCCACGCTGCCCGCTGATGAAAAATTTTAATTAGGGCTTATTTTGGGGAGTAGGGCTTTTAATAAGATTATGCTAAATATCAGGCTAGGGCTTATTTTTGGGGAAATGGAGTATTTACAGGGGGACCCTCCCAGGGTTGAAATGTTCCCGGTTCGGACTGGATCACCCGATCCGGTAGTGATGGAGGCGGGTGGTTCGGAGAACTGGTAGCAAAAATCCCTGCCCCTCCCCCTATGCCCAGCTGAACTGCACAATCATCAGAGCTTTTTTTTAAAAAAAAATTAAAAGCATTTTTTCTACAACCTCTTCGGCAGAAAAAATGCATTTAAAAGTAAAAAAAAAAAAGCCTCTGATGATCCCAGCTGAGTTGCCTGATCGTCAGAGGCATTTAAAAGAAAAAAAAGCCTCTGACGATCAGGCAACTCAGCTGGGATCATCAGAGCCTTTTGAAAGCATTTTTTTCGCCGAAGAGGTTGTCGAAAAAATGGTTTTAAAAGTAAAAAAAAAAAAAAAAGGCCACGCCCACCCAATCACATTCCCACCACCAAGCCACGCCCACAGAACCGGTAGTAACAAATTT